TTATATATATATATATATACTATTATTATATTATATATAGCAGTGGCGTACGCAGGGGGGTGTTTGGGGGTGTTTAAACACCCCCCTTGCCTTTGTCCCAAACATTAAAAAAAAAGAGGAGAAGAAAAGGCAGAGAGAGAGAGAGAGAGAGAGAGAGAGAGAGAGTGTGTGTGGAAGAGGAGAGGAGAGAAAGAGGGAAAAGAGAGGGAGAGAGAACAGGAAGGGCCCTATTATCTTGTTTATTAAGTTAGTATTTGTAAACAGTCCAGCAATCGCGTAGCTCAAAAGATATCCTCTACTTCTTACCATCCTAGACGGTATTCTAAACATGCATTGAAACTGCGTTTTACGATTCACGTTAATTGCATCTTTTTCTCATCATAAAAAATATTTTTGAACTCTCTTTAGGTAAGTAAAATGACAAGAGTTGTGATATTTGAATATCGTATGATCGGCAAGCGTATATTAATTTTTTTTGTAATTTTCAATTTTTGGATATTTTTGGATTTTTTGAAACCCTCTAAAAGTGACCTCAGTCGCACATTTTTCAGCTCCGAAATGTGAAGAGCGGGCGGTGACCCGAACCAAAGGTACATTTTTTGGTCGGCCTTATATAGCCAATAAATGATGTGGAGTACCCAAGAAATGTATTGATGACAAATTTTTCTTCTGCCAAAATCATGATGATTTTAATGACACAACAACAAGTAAAATATATATAATACAGAAAAATGTGGCAAGGAAATGCGGTATTTTTAGGCGTTATTTTCAATTTTCTTTCACAACTCGAGGGGGGGGCACCCCGCGTCCCGCCCTCCGCTCCGTGCAGCGCTTACGCGCCTCACTACGCTATGCGCAGCGCTTCGCCTCTCTCTCTCTCTCTCTCTCTCTCTCTCTCTCTCTCGTGCGTGAGTGCGTACGCGCGCGTGCGTGCGTGCGTAGCGATAGAAGATTTTCTACCCAAGGCTCTGAGGTCTGCAAGAGCCGTATAACTAGTGCTGCCACGTTGCGGTACTGCCCCTCCACGCACGGGGATTAGCATTTCCCTAGAGCTCTGCAGTCTGCTGTCTATAGGTGCCCTCTAGTGGTGAATAACGTTCAATTAGTGCGCCTCGGCGCTCTGTTGCTACTGCTGACAAAACGTTTTTTCGTTATCATGACTTCATGACACTGTCTTTATGCAACGCTTTCATGATTGTCTCAGTATGGTGGCACAGTGGCTCTAATCAGTAACATTTTCGTTGCGTAATGGAATCTCAGTCATTCAGACGTGGCACTGCGACAGATCTATTATATTGTATCTGTATTTCCCTGCAGTTGTCATCTCACACACTCAGACGTCACAGCTGTAGGAGACTGTTCGAGTTTGTCAGCAGACTGGTATGAGTTCGTAGGCTAATTATAAAGACATAACAACAGGCACCTTTATATTCTGGATAAAACGTTGCTCGTAGAGCTGTATATAACAAAGTTTTACGTTTAGCATAGCACAGCATAAACTATTTTATAATACTCTAAACTTCACTTTAAAAAACGATTTAACAACTCTAAATTAACAAGACACAAAAACACAACATACGTTTTAATTCAGAATAAAATGGTTAATAAAACATAATATAGTTTAACTTTATAACCAAAACGAGCAGGGATGCTGACATCAAAATTGGCTTCCAAAGACATCACGTGTCCATTATAGTAGATTTCAATTTCTAGACAATGAAATATGACTCAGTTATATCTTCAGAGAAACTGCCTCCATGCCCACAGCAACAGGACGACAAAACATAGAAATCTAAGAATATCTAAAATACGTAGAGGATTACAGATTCTCAGCACTAAGCTAACACTCCTACAAACGACTCACACTATGTACAAAAACACTCACATGTGTTCATTGTTTGCTGAGGAAAGTTTGAACGAGCCGATTATTTGGCACTAGAGAAAAACACATTTTTAATTGCCCAAGATATTCAGTAACAGGGTGCCATTATATACAAAAACCCACATCCACTCCTAAGACCAATGGCCGCATATATGTTTGCCACCCCCCTAAAAAATTTTGACGTGGCCATTTATATTTTTAGTAAACTAGCAAATAGTGATGATGTTCTTGGCAAGCAGTTCATCAATGGTCCTGTTGAAGGTGTCAACTTCCTTATTCCACTCTGACATGTGCTCTGACACGAAGCGTGGCATACCTATAAACTTCTTAAGGAAAGTACAGCTCAGTGTGCTAGAGAGTAGAAAGTTCTACGTTAATAATTATTCTTGTAGATATTATTATTATTATTATTATTATTATTATGCCTTTATTATGCCTATAATTAGATAAGTTATAATGTGCGAGTTCAATCATGAACAAGAATTTGGATGTTTGGCAAAGATACACGGATGTAGCCGAGATCGAGTTCCATCCAGGCTTACATAGTGAGCACCATTGTAAAACCAGCCTGCTGGCAATGCATCATGTCGTCTGCGCTTCTGCGAAATAAAACGAATAATTATAATACTTTAATTACAAATAATAAATTTACTTGGCATTACGGCAGGCCAATTATATGCCCAAATGGTTTTCAACCAACATATACCTACCTACTTATTGCCTTTTAGCTTCTTATGATATGGAAAATACACATAGTATATTATGTATTAGAAGATGATTTAATTATTAATAGACCTCTCACAACTACAACACGAACCAACTGCTACAACATACTCCACTGCCTCATCTGACTTTCACCTCTGCCAGTTTGCTAAAAAATATCCATGGTAAATTAACAATATTGCTAAATACCATGAATTCAGTAAGTGGCCTTGAGCCGTTTGCAAGAACAAAATTGAAATTTAAAAAATGTATCAAATAAATTATAGGAACTGTATTGAAGTATATATATTATAATTATGCAAGTTTGTGGGCTGAATATATACCCCGTATAGTGCTGCCACCATGAGGAAATCACTGGTATTAAATACATAGTCATATAGATTGCCAGCAGATGAAAATTACGGTAACATTTATGCATATCTATGTCACTAAGTAACCTTCTTCCCATACCTGTATTTGTGCTATGTGGTCTGCAGATATGCTGCCAGCAGTGAGTAACTCCCTGCGCGTTGGCACCTGAAAAGAGAACCGGAATGGAACCTAACTTGGACTTCTCTATACGGAAATTCTAATTAAATGGACTTAACGTAAATGTAATAGCATTAAAATGTGACATTTTATAAAGATACCAGCGGCAAACAATTCCTCATCCAGTCCTCCAGTTCCAGCTTTGATAGACAGAAGCCCTCAAACACAGCAATTCCCTTGGCTGCAGCTGCATAGGTGCTGTCACCATGGTGATGGTTGCTTCCCGTGGATTTAACCGGCTTACATCTGACATTCTTTGCTTGAATATTACCGTTTGTGGCACAGTACTCAAGGTGTACTGTTACGTTACCGTCAAGTGAATCTGGAATTCAATGCGAAAAGGTGAAATGTTGAATGCTTTAAAGGAATAGTTTTAACCAATAGAGCACTCACGTACTAAATGCGCTTATACTAAATAGTTTTTACCAACATTTCTTGCTTAAAGATACGCTGAACCATCCTTATCTATGTAGAGTAGTTTTACGTATAGTGAAACAAATTGTAGAAGAAAGAACAATCTATCAAATGTTCATAATATCTGTCAAAGTACATCTACTGCTGTAAAGCAATTAGGAATATTTCATTCTTATCCATAAAAATATAATGAAGCTGTAAAAATCATCTGATCATATAAAGATAAGGAAGCTATGAAATCTGCTTGATAAAGGCAATAACTTAAATGACAAAAAAAACATACAGGTGTACGTACCTGTCCCAGTGCAGGGGAATCGACCAGACACCAGGTAAACGCCTCTCAGCTGTCCACGTTCACTGCTTACATTTAAAAGCTTAACTTGAGCCGTCAGTCTTTCGGGGTCTACGTGACCAGTGAAATGCAGCACAACCCTATCGAGCTTAGAATGCACACAAAAGCATCTCACATCTTGCCTGCAAATGATACAGATACAGAACTAAAGCTGCAGTGTTTTCAGTGGGAGCTGTAGTGTTAGCGTATGTGATGTACAGGTATCCCGTGCCTTGGTCACGCAGTGGTCACACTTACCCATGCTACTTATTCTGCCATCTATAGTATATAGCACCTAGCAAAAATGCTAAATTGGCATTGTTGCAACTAGAGCGAGTGTATGTTCAGAGTACAGACACGGTTATGTTTCTAGTTGTAACATACTGACATATACCATGTGGTGGCATTTTTACGTAGCTTTACCAAAGAACAAAACTGAAATTGCTATTTAACACTTGTAAGACGTTATAAGTAAAACCAATGAGTTAATATCCAAGTAAAGAATAGAAAGTGTAGGCACTGTGTAAGTTAATTGAGTAAATACACACTCAACCAACCCTGAGAAGACAAGCATTAAAATAACATACCAGTCGGGTCTTGATAGGTAGCGAGCGCGTACATTTCTTGCCTCGCTGAAAACACTCGCTGACAGGATTGCATCCAGATCGCCCGACTCTGACAGGCATCCGTCGGGGGCAGTGATGACAGATATCGGAGGCTGCATCTTAGAGAGAAAGCCGCGTACGAGCTGGTTCCAGGGGCTGCTGACGACGTCCGTTATCACAACGTTATTGACCCAGCCCGACGAAAGGAGCTCTCCGAAGCCAGGCACTAGATTCCTGAAAGAAAATACCGCTACAGTGTGGCACCCTTCGTTATTGCTGGATCACACTCGACCATGAAGAATATTAATGTTAGACTCATGTATTGTTTTATAGTGCCTTGGCTCAAAATGTGTAGCATAGGCCTTTGGAAACTGTTGACATGCAAATTTTGTACGTGTTTTTACAACTTATTTATTTATGTCAATTAAAACGCAATTCTGTGGTCCTTGTGGGAAGTTTTAAGGTCAGCCCAATCACTAAATAACGTTAGTGATTTAACACTGGTCCTGTAGCTAAACGTTTAGTTTCACATTAAAGGCTTTTGCTACATCGAAACTCTAGCCAGTTTTGGCCGTCTTTGTCTTGCAGCAAGACAAAAAAAAACCATGGTACCTGCCAGCCATGAACACAGCATTCGTATCAACAGCAATCGTCACAGCTCCGATGAGCAGGCCATCACCTGGATGCGATAGCACAGCATTTACCACTGCACACGTGTCTGTTAACCTGTCAACAGCAATATGAATTAATAATCATATGATTCAATAACGAGTGACTCCAGCTGTCATGGCTGCTGTGTTAGCAGAAAGGGAACTATCCAGCCAATCGCGTAGCTCAAAAGATATCCTCTACTTCTACCATCCTAGACGGTATTCTAAACATGCATGAAACTGCGTTTTACGATTCACGTTTACTTGCATTTTTTTCATCATAAAAAATATTTTGGAACTCTCTTTAGGTAAGTAAAATGACAAGAGTTGGATATTTGAATATGATGATCGGCAAGCGGTATATTTGAATTTTTTTGGAATTTTCAATTTTTGGATATTTTTGGATTTTTTTGAAACCCTCTAAAAGTGACCGCAGTCGCACATTTTTCACTCCGAAATGTGAAGAGCGGGCGGGTGACCCGAACCAAAGGTAATTTTTTGGTCGGCCTTATTAGCCAATAAATGATGTGAGTACCCAAGAAATGTATGATGACAAATTTTTCTTCTGCCAAAATCATGATGATTTTAATGAAACAACAACAAGTAAAATATTATATAATACAGAAAAATGTGCAAGGAAATGCGGTATTTTTAGGCGTTATTTTCATTTTTCTTTCAAACTCGAGGGGGGGGCACCCCGCATCCCCGCTCCGCTCCGTGCAGCGCTACGCGCTGCACTACGCTATGCGCAGCGCTCCGCAGTCACTAACACGGGCGTAAATCCCGGGGGGATGGGGGGATGCATCCCTTGAATTCCCATGCTCTTGAAGGAGGGGGGATGGCCTGTACAAATATCCCCCCTGAGATTCAAAAAAAGAGAGAAAAAAAGAAAGGAAGAAGAAGAGGTAAGAGGATTCCGATTTACCAGACAGGTTTATCAGCGTGGGTTTTAGGTGCTACAGTTCAATGAGGCTGCCACACAGTCGGCAGATTCGTAGATTGGGCAGAATTGGATTGCTGGCAACACAGCCATAGCCTTCATAGACTATGCTAGGGCTTGGCTTGCTGTTCATAGACTTGAGTTTGCTTACATCGTGAGATTTCAGAAATTTCACCGATTTTACTGCTCTAGCTATCAAACGCAGCTTTTTATAATAGCTACAGTAAAAACCCGCGTATAAGAACATAGATTTTTCCAAGTTAGCCTCAATAGGTTCTTATATAAAT